AGATGGCCATCCAACCTCTGCTTAAAAACCTCCAAGGAAGGAGAGTCGACAACCTCCCAAGGGTTCCACTGTCAAACAGCACTTACCATCAGAAAATTATTCCTGGTGTTTAGTCAAAGTCTCCTTTCTTGCAACGGGAATCCACCAGTCTGAGTCCTACCCTCCATAATGGGAGAATACAAGCTTGCTCCATCCTCCATGTGACAGCCCTTTATATATTTGAAGATGGCTATTATATCTCTTCCCTTCTGGCTAAACAAACTCAACTCCCTCAACCATTCCTCATCAGGCTTGGTTTCCAGACCCTGGATCATCTTGGTTGCCCTACTCTGTACACGTTCCACTTTGTCAACATCCTTCTTAAATTGTGGCGCCCTGCTCTATTCCCAGGGAAATCCCACTCTTTACTGCAATTTGCCCTTCCTCTCTGGTCTGTGTCATGGAAGACATAGAGGAAAAGCTAGTCAGGAAGCTAGGCAAGAACTTTGTTGTCTTTGTTAAACAGGAGCAGAGCAATGACCAGAAACTCCTGCCTCCACTCAGATACAAACTCTGTGTCCCTATTTTCCAGGGACAGTTCCAGATTTACAGAAGCCATCCTGGTTTCTGATTTGATCCCGGAATGTACCACTTTACCTTAGGACAGCGGTTCTCAACCTTTGGGTCCCCAGATGTTGACTACACCTCCCATCATCCCTAAGCTCTGGCCTTGCTACCTAGGGGTGATGGGAGTTGTAGTTCAACAACATCTGGGAACCCACAGGTTGAGAAGGGCTGCCTTAGGATGTCCATGTTTTTATTGGAGAAATGTCGAAGGGTATGGAGTTATGCCAAGGAGATAAGTAACTCTACAACTATATAGTTGTATATACTATACTATACAACCTTTAGAAATTTTTTTATGTTAAATGTTTTCTAATGCTTTTATATATGTTGGAAGCCACCCAGAGTGGCTGGGGAAACCCAGTCAGATGGGCGGGGTATAAATAATAAATTTATTATTATTATTATTAGTAGTAGTAGTAGTAGTATTGAATAGGACATCCCTATTTTCATGTGAGAAATGTTTGAGGGTATGCAGATATAACCAGGTTTAATAATAATAATAATAATAATATCTTTATTGTCATTGCCCCCTTCGGGGACAACGAAATTACTTGACTGCTCCATAAAAACACTAATTAATCAATACAGTATAATACAGCAAGGGAGATTAGATGACTAAACCATGTCATGGCAGCATCCATACACCCTGCTGTATTAGGGACTGGTACATGGAGGGGGCTGAGGTAGTTGCATACATATTATTTTAAGATATACGTATCTTACTCTTCCTCTAAGAAGCAGCAAATATGTCCTCCCCACCACCCTGCCATTTTATCCTTGCAACAACTCTGTGAGGTACATTAGGTGGAAAAATGTTGACTTCTTTAAGGAATCTTAGAAGGATGTTGGATAGAAACTAAGGGTTTTTTAGCTGTAATGCTTTAAGAGATATGAAAAAAGGTTTGCAACTGGGTAATTTCAATGGTAAGGATTTGCTGAATCAACAAATTGAACTGGAATACGAAAAAGGGAGGTATGAGGAGGTCCGGGGAAATAAGTATAAGGAAGATAGGTTATGGAAATTTAATGTCCTTTTAATTGTTTTATTTGGTATGTTTTCTTTTATTTTTTACTTCTTTGGTTATATTTTTTAAAAAAACTTTATTCTTGTTCTTTCTGTATTCTGTATTTTTTGTATTATTTTTTTTTTGAAACTTTAATAAATATCATTTATAAAAAGAAAAAAAGAAAAAAGAAAAATGTTGACTTCTTGGCCAAAGACACCCAGGGAGCTGTATGGCTAAGTGGTCATTTGAATGTTGGCTTCCCAAGGCCTAGCCCTCGCCCTACCATCAAAGGAAGCCCAGAGGCTCTGAAAAGCGGGGTCAGATTTCCATTAAGGCCAGCGTTGTGTCTACAATAAATTTCCTCACTGCGACAACCTTCTGTACAGCCCTATTCTGCATACGTTAAGAAAATTTGTCTCAAGCATCCATTTTCTACCCTGGTCTGGACGAGTTGTGGAGAACTCCCACTCATCCATCTACTTGAAATTGGAGGAGTAGCATATTGAAAAGGTGCAGACATTACATGAAATGAAAACCATACTGGATCCATTTAACATACAATTAAACATTTTCTTTGAGCAATTAGCATGGCGACAACTAATAATTACCTTGGATAACTGCCTTGCGAGACACTCTACATATTTATGCAAAATTATTTCTCCCATAATATTAACATGCCATTAAGAGAAATGTGTTCATATGAAAACATCTTGGTGTAAATGTAGAGTTGGTAAATGTGTGCTTGCTCAGCTGAGAAAAGGGAATGGGGAAACCTTTCTGCTTCAGTAGGAACATGCCCATGGCCTCATGAAGTCGGCTGTGTATTAGGAGTGGCCTTCCAGATGTCATTGCATTCCAGCTCCCATAGGCCCCAGCCGCTATGGCCAGTGCTCTGGAATGATGGGAGCTGGAGTCCAGCCACATCCAGAGAGCCACAGGAAAGCCATCCTAGGTTTTCATGTGTGATTCTGTGGCTTACTTCAAACACAACAATAATCTTTGGCTTTTGTTGTGATAACTTCACTCTTTTTCTTCCCACCTCCGAAGATGAGGGGAGGAGACTACAACTTTCTACTTACACTATGCAGCACACCATAGATTGTGAAGAAATCAGGATATCAAACCAGGCCCATGGTTTATGGCTACATCATTGTTGTTGTTATTTATATCCTTCCCAGCTGGCTGGGTTTTCCCAGCCCCTCTGGGCGGCTCCCAGCAGAATAATAAAAACACGATAAAACATCAAACATTAAAAACCTCCCTACACAGGGCTGCTTTCAGATGTCTTCTAAAAGTCAGATAGTTGTTTGTTTCCTTGACATCCGCAGAGAGGATTTTCCACATCTGAATTGGGCCTACATGTCATACTCTCTTGCCATTTTCCCTGCTTCTCCTTTGCCGATTTTTTCCTACTCTCCCCTACTCTTACCTTTTCTCTCCAATCTTTCCCCCATGCCTGGGGGGTGGTGTTGTTGTGGCATAATCAAATCACAATCTGTTGTGGGTTTGGAGCAGGACTCCTTACAATTAAGTATAATTGGTTAATTGACACTGAAATAAAAAATTCCTAAATGTTTACTGCTAATGTTGGGGAAATTCCACTGCAGTATTCTAACCGACTCTGAGCTTTAACTGAGTTGATAATTAACTGTTGCTGTTTGCTGCTAGCTAACACATGAGTGTTTAACCTTAGATCAGGTGATTAAGGTATTGGATTGCAAATCAGCACTTTGAAGGGAGTTGCCCTTAGTTCTTTGTTCTCAGACTCTGTGAGAGTATGTATGTAAATGAAGCTCTCCAGGAAACCACAGCTTCAGGCTGGAATGCAGGCTGTGGGAAGAGACATTCCTTTGCTTCTAGGTCTGTTAGGAGTATTCCATATTTTCAAAGATGTTGAGCCTACTCCTTGTCTTATGGAACTGTCTAGAGATGTATATTGGGTGTTTTTGTTTTGAAGAAAGTTCTGCAGGTAAAGTTTAAATTAAACTTATGGGCCTCAACCATGTTCTATTTCCAAAATGAGTCAGTTTTTATGCATCTAGTCACTTCAAACTGTGAAATATTAACATCTGCAATATCTACTTGAAGACTAATATTTTACAGAAATTTCAACACAAGTAGTCTAGCACTGCTCGGGTGGTTATGTTGGAATTCATTTTTAGGAACTCCCAATTTAATTTTCCTCTTCAAAATGCAGCAAGCAGCATCTTGTTACTTATTACTATAGTATTCTTTCTTTCTTTTTTTTTAATAACCTGCCTTTTCCCCTGACAGGCCTTTGGATTAGGAGCGAGGGTTAACTCTTTGCTTCCATGACCATCCCTCAATTTAACACCTCCCCACTGAAACTATAAGCCACAGAGGGCAAAACATACCAGCACAACTGCAGCAGCTCAGAGGAACTAATTCAGTGTTTCCCAAAGTAGGCAATACCACCCCCTGGGGGGCACTGGAATGATGGGGGGGGGCAGTAGTAGCCTTGGGTGCAGCTGTGAGGGGCATTGAATAAAACCAAGGGGGAGGTAGAAGCATAAAGAAAAACAAGAAGAAAAAATTAAAACACAGTTTGTACATGTTTCATCTGTTGCGTAATGATGCTTACTGCAAAAACGCTTCCCCTGGATCTGGCAATTGTGCTGGAGGCGAGGGTTTTCCCTGGGATCGGGTGAACCCTTTTTGGCTTCACTCAGGCCAGGAAAATGGATCACAGCTTGCCTGCCTATTTGACCAAAGGCAGGCAGACTGCAGTGCCAGCCCTGCCCCTGTGGCAGATCACACTGAGCCGGCAGGCTTCACTCTGGTCCACCCCATGGGTTTTAATAAATAATTTTATAATTTCAAGCGTCAAAGTGTCTTATTTACAACAACATATTTCCTTTCTATGTTGTAGGGCAGGGGTCAGCAACCTTTTTCAGCAGGGGGCCGGTCCACCATCCCTCAGACCATGTGGTAGGCCGGACTATTTTTTTTTGGGGGGGGTGAACGAATTCCTATGCCCCACACATAACCCAGAGATGCATTCTGAATAAAAGAACACATTCTACTCATGTAAAAACACACTGATTCCTGGACTGATTCCCGGATTGAGAAGGCGATTGGGCCATATCCAGCCCAGGGGCCTTAGGTTGCCTGCCCCTGTTGTAGGGCATAGGTAGAAATATAGATACATAAAAGAAGGCAAGTCTGTCACTGCATCTTTCTGTTTGTTCACTTAAAGAAGGCAGATTTCTAAGGAAGCACTGTGGGGTTTTTTTTCTTAAAAGGAGACGGTAGGCCTCTGCACTAATGCATGCTTCAGTGGCGGTGGCTATTGACACAACACACTTGCACATACCCCTTTTCATATACTTGTAAGTGCCAGCAAGAGCCTGTACAGCAAACACACAAACCCGGGAAAGCTCAGTCAGTAGAGCATGAGACTGTTACTCTCAAGGTTGTGGGTTCGAGTCCCATGTTAGGCAAAAAGATTCCTGCATTGCAGGGGGTAAGATTAGATGACACTCGTGGTCCCTTCCAACATACAATTTTATGGTTCTATGAGATGCAATCCATTACCTTTGGAAGCAGACACTTCCAAAGTATATTCGCACACAAATATATGTGCACACAACCTTATATCCTCATGTTGAGAGATGCAGACAGACACATGATACACATTTTCACCCAGCCAGCTCTGCTCTTATGAAACAGAAACTGCGAAACCTCTGACTGGGCTAAGGAAGTGCTGCTAGGTGGCACTGTGAGACCGAGAGAGAGGCCTCGGTGCCAGCTCCCATTTTTGCTTCTGGTGAGTCTTGGCTGTGGCTGCTCTGATTTGCAAGAGATTTCATTATGGCGCAATGGTGAGCTTAGAGTGGTTTCTGGCCTCGCCCAAGAGTTTATGCAGAGCTAGGAACAAAGTATGTTTGCTGGCTCTGGGAAACTGATGCCTTCTGGACCAGTTGAGAAGCTATTCCATCCGAAAGGAGTCCTTGAAGCAGGGCTGTCACCCAATGAAAGAAAGATCACAGAGCAAGCCAGTGCTCCACCATCCACCAGGGACCCTGCTACTAATGCTAGTGTGGCCTCTGTAAGGTTTATCAGACCCTGTGTACTCCCAGCGGAGAAGCAGAGGGCAACAAGCAGCAACAACCAGTCCCCTGGGGTCCATGGCAACCGAACTGGCACACACCATCACAACCTCTCCCCTGCAAAAAAACATCTAGGAATGGAAGGAGCCAACCCAGTTGTGGCACTGGGTAAATGGCACCATGGTATTGCCTTTCCTCTATACACACACAAGGTGTAACTCCAGGTAGGAATAGGGGGAGAAATTTGTTTCAGGGCACATTTAATGCCAAATTCGCACTTTGCAAAACTATATGTGAACTGAAACATTGCCATCCTTCAAAAGCCACACATATCTGAATTTTGCGATGCACTTTTTCAACAAAGTAATGTTTACAAAAACGTGTGTGTTAGGAGGTGTGCATAAAAGTGAAGATAATAGCAAAAATAACATAGAAAAGTACATTATATTGGGGAAAGTTGCTTGCAAAAATGTGCACATTTGTCAAAACGGCATACAAAAATGTGTTTGTTAGAAGGAGTTTGCACTGAAATGCTGATGAATTTTCATAAGGTTTTTGTTTTTTTAAACCAGAACCTGCTGCTGTCAGAGAAATATAGAATGAAAATTGAAGTGTGTGAGTGAATGGCTAATTTCAATATTGTATCAGGCAAAACTGCATTCTGTGAACTGCCCTGAGACCCCAGGGTATAGGGCGGTATATAAATTCACTTAATAATAGTAATAGTAATAATAATAATAATAACAACATGGAGAACTGAAAGTAAGACAGGAAAAATGAGAAACTGAGCATACCCCAAATGACAGATCCTTCCATCCCTAAGGTACACAAGAAGAATGCCTCAGGGGCTCAGGTGTGGCAGCCTTTGTGATGGAGGCAGTCAGAGCAGGGGAACTGAGCAGTCCCAGGGCTCCCCATTTGAATCCCCCTGAGACCCCTCATACACAGGCTTCACAAAATCACTGCAGCCACAGAGCTCACAGGCAAAGCAGGCCATCCAACAAGTTCTGTGACTGACTTAGCAGAAAGCACTTTTAGGGAAATGTGGGCTTCTGAGGAACAAGGATTCGTGTCTCCTTGGGGAACAAATGTTCGTATCAGAGAGCAGAGCTTTAGTCAAGGAGGGAAAAGGAGAAATCAGAAAATGTATCCAGAGAGGCCTTTATCAGTGCTGTTATTGAAGACTCTTTTTCAGTCAGAATGCATTAAGGAAAATTATTTGGAGTGGGTTCCCCCCCCCCCTATATTTTTCCACATTGAGAATAATTTTTAGGAGCTTGGAGTTTACTTCTGGGTTTTGTTTGGCTTTTGTTTTCTCTCATCTGCTCATAAGAACATAGGAACTGAGTCTGGTTTGCTGCATTTCTGAACTTAAGTCCCCAAATTGCAAATGCCAGTTGGGTACACTGGTACATGTGAATGCACATACACATGGAAACAAGGACACACAGTAACACCATGCAGAGCTGAAATGGTTTTTTTCAAATTATCTAGGGGTGCTTGCAGCCTTGCACCCTGGCATAATTGGGCCAGAAAAAGGTCTGACTGCAAGTGTAACAGAGTTGGACTACTACTGAATTTCTGTCAGAGTGTGTAAATCAATAGTGACAGTTAAGTATAAAGATTTTTAAAATGAAGCATTGCGCTGGAAAACATGGATTCATAGGATGCTTCCAGCTCCCAGACACTGAGAGTTCCTGGCAGTGGGCTGAGATCCCAAAATAAGGATGAGCTCTGTGTGGTGAGGAAGGGGAGGTCATGGAGTCGAGCTTGTGGACAAAAAGACCGAAGCTAGAAGAACAAAGTAGTTAAAGGGCAGATGAGTGACTTGCTTCACAACCCCACAGACAGCCTGACCTGATCGTATGCAGACACTGGCCCCATCCTTTCCCCATTGCATTTTCTACCATGTGACTATGCACGCAGTACAAGACAAATAGGGCAGGAGATGCACTCCTTTCTACAGTGCAGCTGTGCTTGTCCGAACTGAGAAACCTCCCTCCATGCCCCCCACTGCTCCACAGCACTCCCTCCCCCACCCCCCTCTGTGTGATCTGCAGCTTGCTGGTTCCTGGTCCAGAGCCATCTCTGTGCAGCACGCAGCATCTCTTGCTGGGAGCTAGCTGTGATTTTGCAAGGAAGCACTTGCAAATATCCTACTGCTCAGAGAGAACGCTCTATCTTGAGCTTTGCTGCCAGGGAAGGCAAACAGGCTACAGGCTTGTGGCAAGCAGGTGCCCTAGACCCAACCCTCTCCACTCCACAACACATAGCAAGGAAGGCAGGCTGAGATGGGCTGACGTCTCTCTCGGTCAGAACAGACCATCGTTTGGCTCACACATCATGGCAAATGGTGGCTTGCCCGCCATTTGTGCTCAGGCCTTTGGTTTGCATGTTTCCCCTCCCTCTCACCTACATGCCTGCTTCGTTTTCCTCTCTCACTTTGTCTGCAGTAACCACAGATTGCTGTGGCATCTGAACCAGGCAAACTGGAATTGGAAACCACCGCCCAGACTGGGCTCCAACAACATTTGAGGGGGCTACAGTTCATCTACCCCTGTTGTAAACGTCTCGGAAGCCGTGCATATGAAATACAGAATATGAATCGCCACAAAGTGCTTTTGAAATGTTAAGTCAGTAATATCGTTCTGACCTGTGCCCACTGAAGCCTGACAGAGATGACAGAAGTCCCATCTAATGGTCCCCCGTTAATCACCCATCTGGCCTTGGAGAGCGGCATGCAGTCAGCTAAATGGGTGCTACATGGCCTAGGAACAAACAAATGGCATTTCTGCTTTTCAAGCCCTCTGACTAAATTGCCATTTAACTCCTCAGATCTTCTCCTTTCTCCAGCCTTACCCCTAGCCAATGCCTCCTGCTGATGGAGCTCAGTTTCCCCCTTTCCCTCTGGTTTTTCCTTTCTTTCTGTGTCCCCCACCCCCATTTCCCTCTCTCTGGACCCCCTCTATGTCCCTCTTGTCCTTGCCTCACCTCTGGCCTCGCTCCTGTTCCACAGAATGGCATTGGAAGGAGGTGTGCCCAGAGAGATTCTGGAGCAAAACACCCTAGGAGCCACAAAGGTCATGCATGATGTGTGAGACATCCATGCAGTCAGGCTCTCCCGTGCCTGGGGGTGTCTGTCTGCTTAGCCCTGCGGGGGTTAATTAGGAACCCCACATAGCTGCTTTGAAGCTCAGAAAAGTACAGCCCTGGGAGAAGCTGCTTAGCTCCCACCATCACTTTCCCTTTCTCTCCCCCCACATAGATCCCTCTCCCCTGAAGCCACTTTTGGCCTCACCCAGCTCATAGCAGGGTTTTTTGGGGGGTGGGGGGCGTAGGCAGGATACAGATCATGGGAAGGGCACAGGAGGAAAGAATTAAGCACTCTCTCCCACAGCAATATCTTCAAAGCAGCCATATGGTGCTGCTAATTAGTTAAAAACAAAACAAAACACCCTCACCGGTGGGAGATCCTAATCATGGGTCTCCAGCGCCACCTCTAGTTTGGTCCTTTGTCAAAAGCAGGCAAATGCAGCAAAATGAGATGGTGGGGGGCCCTGAACTAATATAATGGACTGGACTATGCAGACTGCAGGTGGGATACCACATATTTGGTTGCTCCCCTGCAGTGCACAGGAAAATGAGAATCCTTCCTAGTGGTGTGCTAGTTTCCTATTTGTAGGATTATGATTTCTTTTCTGAGAAAGCTTTGGAAAGGACATTTCCCTCTCCCCACCTGCAGCTTTTAGTGGTACAGCCCACTCTTCCACTTTAGCATTCTGCCACCTCATTGTGCTGCTTGGGGAGCTCAGGCCTGGCTCCCCTCTCCTCTGTGCAACCCACACCTGGCCTTTCTTTCCCTCCCTACTCCTTGTTTTGCTCTGCTCTGCCCCTCCCTCTCCCCCTGCACCCTAAGTGAGCAACGGCCCCAAGGTCTCACCCACCCATGTTACTGACTGCAAGAAGGAAGGTGTGGCCGCTGCTCCCACAACACAGCTCTGGCATCTCCTATAAAGCAGGAAGAAATTGGTTTGCCTAGCTGGAAGGCGGGGTGCGAGCCAAGAGCCTGAAAAGGAGACGGTGTGTGCTATGTACTGAGTTGAATAGGATCCAAAAGGCAGCAGTCTGATTGGTCCACAGGAGCCACCCAATCCAGCTCCAGATGGAAGGGAATCTGCAACCTGATTGGCCTACAGGAGAATCCCGGAATTAGCCAATCACGTGGGCCCATTGTGTAAATAATGTATATAAGGCAGACATTCTGGGGAAACTTCCATTCCTCCTCACCACTATGAGCTGAATAAAGAGCATGAAATCCACTCTCAACCCTGAGTATATTTCAGTTTGAAACTGGCAATTTTGAGCTGGCTTGCGGGCAGGGCCGGCCCTCC